GAGTATACATCAAACATGAAGCACAAAAATTGTTTGGTTTTGTAGATGCTCACACTAATTCAGAACTGCATTATCTTAAAATTAATGCAAAATATATTTCTTCAGCAAGATATGCTGGGCTTGAATGTATACTTTTGTAAATTCAACTAATTAACCTATTATCATGATTTAATGAACCTCTTGTGACAGTGGATTAACGAAGTGTTCACTGACACTATTGAATAAAAATACTTAAGATACTTACTCACGTGTCATTAAAGAAGAAGATGAAAGAGAAAGAAAACGAAAGAAAGGACATATTTCTTTTGAAACTAGGTCAGTAAATTAAAATGGAAAGAATGTAGAATTGTCGTCAATGTGCTGACAGGTCAGAGTCTACAAGAGACTTGCACATATTAGAGAGGAAATGGAAGTAATCAATATGATGCATTATAATTGTTTGGTGGCTTCACAATCTACAAAAGTAGAAGACGTTTCAGAAATAGAGCATCATGAACTCCATAGATTCGCATAAAACGTTTATTTCTTGAATGATGCCTACTACAAAGAAACATAAGATATAACTTTATCTAATATCATTGGGAACCTAATTTAGTCAAGTTAAGGTAACCTAACTAATGGAAATAATTAGTTTCATAATAGAACGTATACTTTAAGCTGTTAATTTACCGTTTTCCTTTAAAATCTAATGGATTTAATGGATAAACTTTTTCAAAAATTTAAAAAATAATCATATAAAAGAATTATTCTGTTTAAGTGAACGTTATTTATTACAAAGTTACTTCATTTCATATTAAATCTGAAATTTCACATATCAACTCCAACAATAAAAATATTTCAAAACAATTTTATTTTTGGCATTTAGAAAAATCGATTCTTAATTTTGAATAAATAATATATTCCCTTAAATTATAAAAGAAACGTTCACAAAATATCTTTGCTGCCTTAGAAAAATACAAATATTGGCATTTGAGGTTCACAGAAGCAGGTCATATGTTATATTGGCCTGTCAGCTTGCCTGTCCATCCATCCAAACAATTAAAAAGAAAGAATTAATATGTGTTTGTGGTCATGTGGAGCTGACCTGTACCTTGCACTTCGGCAAGGGTAAATACTGTGATTAACCTGTACCTCAGTGCCATTTTGCCAATACTCATTATTTGCTACTGACAGCAAATAAAGTGCTTTCTTTTATTCAAGTGGTCAAGTGGTCAAGTGGTCAAGTGGTCAAGTATTTGCAATTTGTACGTAGTTTTTGTATCAACTATCGTATCTACATTAAACCCAATTGGCATTAAAAATATTTTCTGGAAAGCAATTTAATGGAATACCAGTCAAATGATGGAAATACAAATGTCAATATATGGGTCAAGCGGTAACAGCAATTTAATTAAAAAAAAAATTTTCATTAGAATCCGTAGCGTATACGAGTTAACACCTGACATTTGGCCCACGGCTCAAGATTAGGATTAGGAAGGAATTAGAAAAATACTGATTTATCCCGGAATGCAATCCTAAAAGAATAAAAGAACATTTCGGGTGTATATATCTTGAAATCTTTAAAACATTTTAAACGTTCTTAATAGTTTACTTGTATACTTTGTAAATGTTAAAGTAAATGAACTTACATATGTATATAAAATTTTTGGAATAACTTTTGTTCTTGAGGCTATATTCCATTAGAAATTAATTGTTCAGAAGAATGAAATGAATTACTTTTATAGAAAGAAAACTTATGTAGAGTTATATAGAATATGAGAACTCAATAATATGCGAAAAGGGTGTATTAAGTTTATAATGAAATTGTACATGCTTCTGTTAACTAATACCTTTTAAAGGTGGGATTATAAGACACCGACATATGAAAATTTTGTGAAACTTCCGTTATAGTGGTGATATATCAATTACCGAAACACCTTAAAAAGCCTTGTTTGAAGCAGTTTCTAAACTAAAGAAATCATATTTTTTTAGAAACGAAAAAATAAGTGTCTTCGTCTTTCGGGAGCTATATGGAACTACATGCTATAGTAAATGTTTGATTTTGACAAGACACTGTCACATGCCATACTTCCAAAACAGCCGTCAATTCACTAAATTAATTTACATCCACAAAACAAAATTGTTGCACAGCCATATATATCGTATGCTCTGATGCCGCTGGATTACATTCTGATATTTATTGACCGTATTTCGTCCGGAACATAGGTTGCCTATAAAAAATTTCCAATTCTGTTTGTTTAAAGCTAATAATCGTATTTCATTCAAAGATTTACCGGTTACCGGCGCTTCCAATTAACCTTGGGTCTGCCACGTCTTCTGTTGCCCTGCGGGTTCCTTTCCAGAGTAACGTGGCATATTTTGTCATGGATTGCATTTTGATAGAGATTCTTATAGCAAAAAATTAAGAATACTTCAATTAATTTCCAAAACTTTCCTGAATTTAAGTAGTTTTTATTCTTTTACAGATACATGTGGGTAGATAGAGACTAGCGAGACAGAGTTTATCTACAGCATACATAATTTCCAAAGGTTTCATTTAATAATTATTTTGGATTATAGTAAGCTTATATATATATATATTATATATAGAAAGGAATCTAAGATAAAAACCTTTTTCTCATAAATACTCAACAGTTCTGTGCGAAATAGCTTATACATAATATATTATCACCACACACAGTTCTTTCCCATGGTCTTTTCCAAAATTTTTGAGAAAAACCAAATCAAAAAATGAAGTCAGTTTTTAACTTTTGTTACATTTCTTGAATTAATGTTCTTATACCAGCTATATAGATTTTATCTTGTTGTAGAGTAGGAACCAGTAAAGCACTTATATATATATATATATATATATATATATATATATATAAAGAAATTTTTCATTATAGTCTTAAAATAACTTTTTTATAATGAGTTTATTTACATACAATACATATTTTAAAAAAATGACGTATTTGCGTCGTATTTACCCGAAATTCCAATAACTAAATGAGTAGATATATAAAAAACACCAGAAATGATAACGGCAGTTTTAATATATTTATATGTATATATACTAATCCATAAATACATTTTAATATATAATTTTGGTGTGATTTCGATATCTCTCTTTCGCTGATTTGACAACGGACTTTAGTAGAGTCAGCTATTTTGAAAATTTTTTTTTACTTTTCTATATGCTGTAATACATTACTTCTTGAGATATCAAGTTTGAAAGTTGTAAACCTTTAACATTAATTACAGTAGCAAAAAAAAAAAAAAAACTGTATACACCATCTAGTGGCAACTACTAAATCCAAATTAATAATGACCTTCATGTAAAAATTTCCAACTTAAATATTCGGTACATCAAAAAGTGAGTTATGTATAAGAAGTAAGATATATTAATATTATTGAAAAAAGGCATGTCGAGCTTGGCTATATGGTGCCCTATAATTCAGTGTCCCGTTATATATCATAATGTCTAATTTTAGTGCCTAAGTGAGTCGATCTTAGTTATATAAGACAAGCTGTAAAAAATTCCGATCTATCTACCTATAGACATATGACCAGGTGTATGTAATTTCAAGTGGAATGTGTAAAAAAATATTTTTTTTAGGCCCATTAAATTAAAAAATCAAATACAGATTAAACTCTATAATGAAGTATTTTACCACTTCCGACTATTCCTTAATAGAAAAGTTCAGCTGCATTTGACTTTTGAAAACAAAAAAATTTTTTTTAAGAAATCTCATTTGGAATTATATGGGTTCAGTTAGGTTGTACAGGCGATATAAAGGAAATCCATTTCGGCCTATTGATCCATTGTGTTATCGTATAATAGAAATACTTAGGGTTTAAAACCAAGAAGAACATTTCGGAAGGCATAAAATGCTATTGAATAGGAGGTCTTGAAGTTGAACAAGATCCTTAAAGAAAACGGGCCTCTAAAGTATTGAGTCGCCACTGTGTATGTGCTGGGCAATGTCAAAGCAAAGTCAGAGCCACTTTCATCGTCTTCCACACAGCTGCGACAGGTATATGGTAAATGAAATGGAGATTCAATCTTTGATTGCAGTCTGTTGTGATTGCAGCTTTTCGACGTAAAGCTTTCGCTGTGCTCGTTGACGTACCTTTTTCAACGCACATAAACGTGTGCGGATTTTGGCTGCAACGAGATAATGATCTGAGTCGATGTTGGCTCCTCGGATAGTACGTACATCCAAGATACTGGAAGCATGCCTTTCGTCTATCACAACATGTAGGTAGATAAGTCCATCTGTATTTCATTTTTATCCAACTGCATCCAATTTTCCTCTGCGATGTTGATTCAGCCTTTTGTACAACATAATCATTGCGTTTTTTTTTTTGTCTGTAACATGATTAATTTTAAAATTAAAGATATTAAAAAAGCAAAACAACAAAAGATGCTGTAAACAATTTGAAAATATTTTGTAAACAATTTGTTATCTACAATTTTTTAGTAAACAAAAACAAAAACATAAACAACAAACAACAAACAAAAACATATTTGGTTGCGCTGGAAATACACTGTGCGTGCCACAACACACACACACACACACATACAAATTCGAAGCATACGAAATGCATATCAGCAATTATTGTTTTTTGGCTTCAAAAAAAACGAAAAAATTTTTGCTCATATTGGGCATATCATATGTGTGAGCAAAATAAATTTTTATTGTATTGATCGCTGTTGGGCTCCACAGCTCCACAGTTGATTTTGAGTGTTTTTGTATAGAAAAGCTCAATCTGAAATGAAGAGTGAAGAAAGAGTCGTTTATCGAAGTATTCTCTCCAATTTTTTTTTGTAGGTGATTTTTTTATTTAGTGTGCGCTTAACTGAACTGGATTGGAATTAAATTTGTATTGTAAATGATATGATTAAAGTAATGAGAGTGAGAAGATTATATTTTGTTTTTGTGCTGGAGCACACTGTATTGGAGAATAAGGCGAAGGCGAAGTAAAGCAGTTGGAGTGTGACATTTAAAGCTATCGTTTATTACATGCATAGCAAAATACGGTTGTGTGCGGCGACGGTTTTTCGCTTCATTTTGCTTTACACCAGATCGAATGATGGTGTGGTGATGGTGATGGTGTTGGTGATTTTGTCTTGAGGGGGTTACGACTTTAGTGACCGTTTAAAATTTAGTTGAAAACTAATTTTGAAAGCTGATTGACGCCGAGTCTAGTAACGTCGGAATTTTATTTTTAAATTAAGCTTGAACCGCTGAGAACGCGTATAGCTTGTTTAAATGGAATCGCGTGTTTGCTACGGAACAATAATTAATTCAATAAATTGTAAATAAAATATAGTGATATATGCATATGTAGTAATAATTTCATATAAAAAGATATTTATTGCGTGTGCATTCAATATTCATTACTTTGTAATATTTATGTATCAATATTGAATTATTTGCATATATATCTGGTATATTTTGTGTGTTCAATATTTCATGTATTTATTATATCCAATATACATATAAAATCTACATAATTACACTTACACTTGTGTGCTAAAGAATAATAACAATTTAATTAAAACCATTTTCAAAATCGATTTAAAATTGAATCTTTTTAAAAATAAATTGTGAAATATTGCAGTGAATAGAGCATTCTACATAATAAAAATTCTACATAACAAATAAAATCAGAAAAAACACATACTATATTGTATATAATTGTATATTTATATAATTGAAAAAATAAAAACAAAAATCAATTTTGAAAAAAAAAAACAAAACCAACCAAAAATAAACTGTTAAATAATATACAATAATTTGTTGCATTTTACGGCCGCCACATTGACTCAACGGCTGTGGTAATGTCTGCATTGACTTGCAGAATTTGTAAACAAAATTATTAGCTTAGACGCAATTTTTTTTTTACATGCACAAATATGCGCAGCATTACATCAAACCAGCGCTGGCCGCTGTAAAGCGAAGCTTGTGTGGTGTTTTAAACGGTGTGGTAAGACGGTGTGGTGAATTGGAGAACCAATGTCCCAAGTGAATTGTACATAAAATTTGAAATTGATTTTAAGGAAATATTTATAGCAATTGATTTACGATATGCAATACGAAAATCAGGTTTTAAATATTGCACTCTTGTAATTTGGTCAAATTTTACATTATATACTGCTTCAAGATAAAGTTTTTCAAACTTTTAATTACTAGACATTTTCAAATTAAGCTAGACTTGCAGTAAAATTTGACTCTCATTGAGACCAATAATCGCCTAGAACTGAAAATAAGATATATTGTTAAGTTAGATTTAATGCAAAATTTAACTCTCAGTGAACCGAATTATGTCTTAAAACCAAAACCAAGATGTATTGTTAGGTGTACAATATAATTTTCAATATAAGTCAGGCTTAAAGTAAAATTGGACTCTCATTGAACCGAATGAGGTCGTTAAGCTCAAATCAAGATATGTTGTTAAATGTACCAATAGCCTCTATTAGTCCGGGTTAGTTTAAGATACTCTCTTCAGGGTAAATATAATATTTCTCATAAATTGCAGTGAACCATTTTTAATAATAAATAAATACAGTAATAATTTAGATATCGACATATTTGAAACTTTTATATTATAAGTTAAGACGCAAGTTAGTGGCCAAAGCACTTTTACTCAGTAATATTTCTGGTCATTAAGACGATTGACTGTAACAAGCCTTGCATTCAAATTTGATAATACATATGTTATATATGAATATATTAAATGATTTAGGTAATTTTATAGAACTATAGTTTAAAGCTTAGTATATAATAGTGTTATATAAATTGTATTTCTTTTTAAGAGAGTGCAATTCTGAGTTAGTGCGAGTATCTGAATGGTACGCACTCTATTCTCAAGTCTTTGTGATATTTCTGATATATTATGTATCATATATTACATTAGTATTATTATTAATAGAATTTCGCATCGCATTTAGTGTAAAAACGTGTAAGTGGTGTTTTATAATACCAATTTTCTACTGTTAAATCTTGGTGATTTACCTTACATACAGAATTGTGGTTGTTCAGGTATTTCCTTAAGATAATGTGATCCAATGTTTCTGAGATTAAATTGCATTGTTGATACTACTCGTTCTTTAAGAGTGTATTTGCGATAATTATAGTAGATAGTAATTAGTAGAGATCATGCTATTCTGTATCGCGCATACAAAACCTTTACTTACAGCAAAGAGATTCCCAACATAGTGCCATATGTAAGACTTATTCAAATCAATTAATAGCGTTAGACTTTAATTTATAGATTTTTTGCTGGTCAGAAACCATTGAATCCAAAGGATAGAATAATTTTTCTTCCGGTCAGAAAGGATTAATTTACTATCTACAGCAGATACCGCTCTGTGCATATTATTATAAGTATTAGAAGGGATTATGATATACTGCGATCTATAAGATATATATTATGTTCTCTCTGGAAAGTCTCTCAAGTTAACGTGGACGTATTAAGGCCTACTAATATTTTTAGATCTTATATCATATTTGATTCAATGAATATCGAATGTAGATACTGAACTTGTTTCCTGACATATGCAAGGCATATATGGAAGGGATAAGATTATAACTCACAGCATATGCAGGCTTCAGCTTTCTTTTGTTCCATCTTTTAGAGGTTCTTGTAGTTAACAGTAACATGTCCAGTTAAGAAGCCAGTAAATAATAAAAAAATATACATGTATACATATTTACTATATTACTTTCCATTTTATATATGTTAAAACGTAATTAACGAAATACAAGGTTCGTGAATGTTCTAATACGAAAAATCTGTTGAATGTTAGTTTTTACTAACAACTAACAAGAATTTCATTATAACAATTATTTATAATTTACAATATAATTAATATGAAGTAATTAAAATACTTCTATTTAATTAAATTTTTTTACTAATCCGGTAATTTTCGATTTTAGAACAAATAGCCAACAGAAAAAATACGAATAACATTCCTTTAATCTTAAAACAAAATATAATGTTTAAGAAGTTGATAACATTAGAACGGAGTTTCTTAAACATTGGCACTACCGATCTGAAAACACTCTACTTTCGTCATTAACATTACTATTTTTTGGTGAGCTATTGTTACCGGTCTTTGGTAAGCCCATTGAATATTTTCGAATACATATTGGGTTAAGAGACATTCTAATAGGGCAGTTATTTCAATTAAAATAATAACGACATTGGTATTGACATTGGTATAGTTTTTTATATGGTAAATTATCCTCGTTAGCGGTCTTAATGAGCAAAACTGCCTAAACCAGACAAGTGGAAACATGGTATTAGTCGTTCCTAACAAAAGTTTTTATTTCAACGCATTAAACGAGTTGAACGTTTGAGATCCATATATTCACCAGTTTAATATATAATAACTCGTCTGAACATACCTTTCTCTTCAAGAACCAGAATTTTAGGTTCTAAAATAGCTCGTCTTAAAGTTGATTAAGACAGGGTTACCAAAATTAATATAATTTTTTTAAGCTATTTCTTATAGATTGCTCTCATCTTAAAATGCCAAATATATTAGCTGTTTTTCTACAGATAAATTCCACATTATAAATTTATAATAGAACATATATATGCAGAATTATGATTAGTTTTTAATTTCTAATCTTAAATATATTAACTCATGACAATGACTATAAAGGTTTTCATGATATACACAGACAATTTTTAATTTGAATTCGCTAATGTGTATGTGAATTAATTATACAAATCTAATTTAGATGTATTAACCTAAATGTTTACAATTTATTATAATAGGCAAATGATTTGACAATAATTCTGAAACTAAATTAGAGAGCTGACGTCAAACTCAAACTTGTAAGATATTGACAGAATAAGCTATATAACTATTACACGAATGCACATGATTAAAGATGTATACACAGATGTAAGTCTAGCATTTCACTCTCTGTTATGATTGAGAAATAAATGTACCTTATACCCATAACGTAGGGCGTAGTTTTAAGTCAAGGGATTTTACCTAGTAGTCGTCGTGTCAGGTTTTACTATGACCTTAAAATGTTTACCGGTAGCGATTTGTATATGTTTTCGTCTTCATTTCACATATTTTTTCTTTCCGGATCTTTTTTGATATTACCAAATAAGAACATAAATGCTGGTTTTTAGTTCTAGTAGTATTAACTCCGATTTCTATTATTTCACACAAGTAATTTTTGGCGTATCGAAAACATAGAATCCAAAATATATAGTACTTTTTAAAAACCTATATTTATTGTAAGGCCATGTATAAGCAACATGTAACACTGGTTCTACAATATTCTCAATATAAGTAGGAATCCTTTTTACCGACATATGTTCTGACCAATAGATGACATCCCTACAAATACCTATTTTAAAAACAATAACTTTTTACTTTATGAATACAATACTTTCCGAGTTATAAAATGAATACACAGACTAATTATTAATAATTCTTCGGTAAATTTACTACTATAAACTTATAGATAGTCTTTTAGCAAGTATATTTTGGTTTCGATATATATTTATTTGTTATTTTTTGTTTATGGTAAGAACGTTTGTTTTAATAGTTATTTAGCTAGTTAAAAATATAGTATTAGCGTGTAGGGTCTTTACAACAAGATTGAAATATAGTTGTTTTTTTTTGCAAGAGCAATATAAGAATTATAGCTGTTGTAGAAATATAAATGAAGGTTTCTTTTTCGAGCCTAGAGCGTAATTCAGGTAGAAAGATATATATAAGCCGTGAAATGTTTACCCTATTTAAATTAAGCTTCGTACTGTATTTTATTAAAAACCCACGGATATTATTATATTGTTTATATTTATCCTCGCTTATATCTTCTTCGTCTTCAAACTGTCTTATTTGCATCGATCAAAAGTAACATGATTACAATTTTTGTTTTGTCTGTCAGTTTTGCAAAAAACCGATATCGTACTTTTATTAAACCATACTAATAGCTTCTTAAGCCACAATATCTTTCGTCTGTCAGGGTCGCATCTTCCTTCAATTTTATCTTCAATAATCAAATCAACTATACCATCTTTTTTCTGGGTGCCTTATGATATGACCCAAGTATTTCAGAAATCGAAATTTACTTAGAGTTAAATCACGGTATTTATATTTGAAGCCACAAAACTTGCTAAAGAAGATTTGTTAGTGTAGACGCCCAGTTGGAGACTAAAGAGATATTGTGGGTTCAAGGCACACAATGAGTAGTTAAACCAAATGAGGATGATGGTGCAATCTCGTTGTTTTCTTTACTTTAGTTAATGTGGTTTATTAATAAATATTTATAATTTTATGT